CTCTCATATCCAAGCCATCTGAAGCATCTAGGAATGACATGGTCCCAAAGTGATAGTACTCATGCTGTAGAGCAGAGGTGGGTTTCAGCAGGTTCTGACCAGTTCTGGAGAACCGGTGGCAGAAATTTTGAGTAGTTCAGAGAACCGGTAAATACCACCTCTGACTGGCCCCACCCCCATCTATTCTCTGCCTCCCAAGTCCTAGCTGATTGGGAGGGAATGGGGATTATGCAGTAACCTTCCCCTGGAATGGGATGGGAATGGAGATTTTACGGTATCCTTCCCCTGCCACACCCACCAAGCTATGCCCACAGAACTGGTAGTAAAAAAATTTGAATTCCACCACTGCTGTAGAGCACTCTGTTACCTCAATCTGAAAGTTGGAATAAATCTTGAAATGTAGGCTTTTATATTTGATAATTTGCTGAAGAGAGCCAAAGAAATTATTAACTTCTATTGTTTTTGTGCAACTTGGTTAACAATTTGTTCTCTTATGCACAAGAAACTTAATTTCCAATGTAAATTAACACATTCTGTTTAGTTAAGACTTATTTCAACAGAGATATGTAATTTTGTTTGAGATTGAAATGCAACAAAACATTCTGTTTTTTTCTGCAGATTGTGCAGTTCATTGTTACTCTCGTTCAGAATAATCAGCTTGTGAGTCTGAAACGCAAACGGTAAGCTTATTTTTGAAAGTTCCGGAAAAAGATTTTTTTAAAAAAAGATGTAAACTTTACAAGTGCATTAACAGTTTTTTTTTCCCGATTTAGCCCATTGCTTCTGAATACTAATGGGGCTCCAAAGTCTAACTTATTTCAGCAGATAGTCAAAGACTCATCAGAAAACAAACATCATGTGAGTTAATTGTAAAACATTTAAAAGTAAAAAGTTATCTACCTTGGGGAAACTATCTTAATATGGATGTTTGAGATATAGGTGAAAAGCAGTTTAAATGAAGTTTTGTTTTATATGAGGAGATTAGTGATTGCAGTTCTAAACAGAGACTTGCAATGATTTTCACTGTGGCTGTAGACCTACAGATTACAGATAATCCTTAACTTTTAGCAGTTCATTTAGTAATTATTTGAAGTTACAATGACACTGAAAAAAGGGACGTGACCGTTTTTTCACACTTACGACCTTTGCAGCATCCTCATGGTCACGTGATCAAAATTCAGACATTTGGCAACTGACTCATGTTTACAATACTTGCAATGTTCTGGGCCCATGGCATCATATTTGTGACCTTCTGACAAGCAAAGTCAACGGGGAAGCCGCATTCACTCAACAACTGTGTTACTATCTTAACAACTGCAGTGATTCACTTAACAAATATGGCAGGAAAACTCACTTAAACAAGTGTGTCACTTAGCAACAGAAATTTTGGGCGCAGTTGTGATTGTAAGTCAAGGACTACCTGTACTGCAGAATCAAAATTGTGCAAAAGCAAGTGACTTTGCACAGATGTACTTTTTCTACCCTGATGTTCTACGTTCTCCCTTAAATCAGCCCTTAAACTTTGAGCACTCTCTCTCTTGAGCATTTTTTAAGATCCAGAAATAGAGGGCATCACCATCCCATGGTTTTATCAGTAGAAATGGTTTCCACTGGAATAAACTTGCGGTTATTCTACCCATTGCATTTTCTTTCTGGGACTGTTCCATTTTTTTTAGAAAACATGGCTGGTCCATGGTTGTGCCCATTATTTTGTTTTTAAGAGAATAACCTATATTTATTTCCTCTGTTGAATATAACAACTTTCCTTCAACTATAATGACTTCAATTACAGAAACATTAAATAATGGTTTATATTAAACCAAACTATACAGTGCAGTGCAGTGCAAAAGTTTGAGTTCCAGTAGAAAGAAAACTACAAAGTTCATGAGGTTAATTATTCTTGTGTTTGTGGTATATTTCAATTTCCCTAACTAAGGTTTTTAATTTCTTTGTGAGTTGCAATGTACCCTTAAATTCTTAGGTTAAAAATTAATTTTTTGTAGTTTAAAAAACAAAAAGGCAGTTTTATATCTAGTAAAATGTTAAATTCCAGTAATCAAAACTGCACCATCTTTACAAAATGGAGTTATTGATAGACTTTAATTAATTGCAGAATATACCTTCAGGTCAAAAAGCAGAAAACTCAGAAGAGCCTCTTAAATTAATGGCTTAGAATATTAACAGACTGAAGCCTTGTTTTAACCCTGAACTGGAATCCCACTCTTAGAGTTTCGTAATTAATATCACTCAGATGTGAAGAAAGAGTCAACACTGCTCCTTGTATAGTGAGTTGTAAATAAGATTGTATCTGGATAATGGAAGAGATAAAGAGATAAAAGACAGAATCATCCCATTAAGGCTTAAATTGATGTTTCCAGGACAAGTGAGAACTACTAATAAGCACCATTTGAATAATGAAATATTCTACATTGATGGTTGAGATTAGGTTCAAGTGTCATTTCTTTCTCCTAAACCAAGTAAGAACCTCTGTGTTACAATATAATAGGGGTAATCCTCAGTTTACAACAATTGAGCCCAAAATAAGTGAGTTTTGCCCCAATTTATTGTCAGGGTGCTAATTAATCCCATTCTGCTTTTGGGTAATCGCACCTTGATTTTAGAGAAGTGGATCGAGACTTTTCCCTTGAAGCATACTTAAGAAAATAAACCCAAAGATATATTTTCTAAGAAAAAACTCATTTATTTGTTATAAAGAAAATAAAACATCTCACTGATCTAATTAGTTACATCTTGGCAAAGCTTTCCCGGCCGGACCTCTCCTGGCCGGAGAACAAAGAAAGTATAGAAGAAAGTGAAAGAATGTGGACATGCGCAGTATCAGTTACTGATAAGAACTTGGCAAGCTACAGTAAGTCTTAAGAGTTCAAAAATAAGAGTATCTGGTAAATACAAAAACGCAGTGACATTTATGACCTTTCTTGCCACTTGACAGTTGTTAAGTGAATCACTGCAGTTGTTAAGCGACACAGTTGTTAAGTGAATCTGGTTTCCCCATTGACTTCGCTTATCAAAAGGTGATCATATGATCCCAAGACACTGTAACCGTGATAAATATGAGTCAGTTGCCAAGTGTCTGAATTTTGATCACGTGACCATGGGGATGCTCACCGGTCCTAAGTGTGAAAAATGGTCATAGGTCACTCTTTTCAGAGTCATTGTAACTTTGAGCAATCACTATTGTAAATTGAGGATTGCCTGTACTTCTTTTAGTCAAGATATTACTCTTAAATTATTTAAGAATGATTATCCTGTTTTAATTCCATAGCTATGGAATTAAATGATTTGCAAATCCATTTCAAATGCATTCTGAATGTAGCACTTTTAACTTTCTTATTCACTTTGAAGACATTTCTATCCTTATTCCTGTTTTATCTTTATTATGCAATTATGTTATTGCAGCTTGTAAATGGACAGGTTTCACATAACAGGAGTGATGGTTTAAAGCAAAGAGACCAACTGTCAGATGACATTATTATTTATGACATCACTGATGATAGTGGGGATGAAGAAAAGGCACCTGTTACTCCGGAAACTAGTGAAGATACTGTTTCAGATTCAAAGTAAGAAACATTTATATGTGTAATAAACATAATTGCAATTTTGGGCAATCCTGCATTGATGCCTGCAGTTTTAATTCTATAAATAAATTAGTAGAATCCAAATATTTTCATTAAAATAGTAGTGCTTAGATCTGGCAAGACCTGATTCAGATTGTATCACCATAAGGACTAGTAGCAAATAACTATAGTAAAATTAGTAAAATTATTAATAATTGGCTTGCTTTGCAGAGCTAACTTAGAACAGCTGTTTTTGGGGGGGGAGAGGGTTTAAAAGCAAAAGTTCTAAATGCCTAATAAATGTAGTGTTGCAAATACTTTGTGGATTTAGTGAAATGGATTGTGATTTGTTTTTTTTAAAAAGCCTATGCAAATATACACTAGTTATTTTAAAATGCCATATTATTCAGTTTAAGAAAATGTGCATGTGGAATGTGTGGGATTCTGTTGTGTAAATCTCTAGTCTCCCGTCACTTACCTCCCCAAAAAGTGTTGAACTTCTAATTATTCAAAGGGAAATACAGAAACAGAAATGCTGTCTGAGTAAAGCTGAAGAAAATGATTTCAGAATTTTACTTCCAATCAAATTACAAAAGAAAGGCTTTCTTTTTGTTAATCTTACATTTGCATTGCAGCTACAGTCCTGACATTGTAATAGTAGAGGATGATAATGAGGATGAATATACACCTATAATTCAAGAAAATACAAACGCTGAACCAGTTGGTATTTCCTATGATGAACCGATAAGTCCTACTTCTGATCATGGAAACCCATTAATGTCTAGTGCTGTTCAGTTAAACAACCAATCGACTTTAACAGCAGAAGATCCAGTGTCTATGATGGATTCTATTCTTAGTGAAAATGGAGTGATCTCACAAAATATCAACCTTCTTGGAAAGTGAGTCGTGTGTTACTTTCTTAACGTTATTTTTAACTTTAAAATGTATGCACCATCTTATTCTCTTCCTCTTTTAACTGCACATGTATTTTACACTGAACATATGTTTTAAATATGCTGATTATCTGTTTTCTTGTTACGAACAGGAGATTCCAATATGCTTGCTATAGAACAGTGATGGCTAACCTTTTAGCCATCACGTGCCAGGAGATGGGGGGGTGGGGGAGGTTCGCGCGCGTGCGTACCCAAACCCATAATTCTATGCGCTCTGCCCTGTGCGTGTAACCCTCCTCCCCCCCCCAGCACGCGATGGCCCAGTAGGATGTTTTTCTTTCTCACCTGGCTCCAGATCCTCTCTATGCATCTGGGAAGGGCAAAAACAGCCTTTCCCACTCCCTCGGAGGCTTTCCAAAGGCCTGAAACAGCCCATTTCCCAACTCCCGGTGGGACAGGAAGTGACGTTTTTTGCTGTCCCCAGCCTCCAGAGACACCTATAATTTTTACATTAAATGAAAAAGAAGAGTGTATTTTTCTTGATTTTATTTTAGAAGTCCAAAGTGACAAGCAGGGAACAAGTTACTGCTCAAAAAAACTAGAGGATATTCTTTTTCCTTCAGGGTGGAACTCCTGGATTACCTTGAGAGCATTGATTGCAGTTTAGAGGACTTTCAGGCCATGCTGTCAGGACGGCAGTTCAGCATAGATCCAGATCTTCTGGTGGATGTAAATATTTGCTTCAATTTTATAAAACTGTTTTCTCCTTTAAAATATTTCATCAAGGTGCTATATTAATGCCAGTTGCAAACTTTATAAAGTTTCAGGAAAAAAAACAAAAAACAATGTTCAGAGTATTTTTCTGAAGAATATTTTTAATGTCAATATTTTCACAAACAAATCATTGGTGCAGTTTAAAAATAGCCAACTTTATTATTTAGAATCTTAGAATCTTCTTTTTAAAATGTGACATTTTGTTTTGTTCAGCTTTTTTCAAGTTCTGTACAGATGAACCCTACAAGTCATATCAGTAGTACAAAAGTAAGTTTTATATTGGCATATCAATGAAATGCGTTAAAATATCACATGTTCATATTTTTAAAAGTCTGAATTTTGGCAAGGTCATAATTTAAGACTAGTTTTCTATTTGTTTGAATTGCCATGCTTTCTAGTACTGAACTCGGCCTCTTTATATCCTTATAGGAATGTACTACAATTTCATAGCAGTGCTTTTAGAACTATCAAAATAGGGATGTTCGTAAAATGGGGAAATTATTTTGGTTTGAACCTGCAACAAGATGTTGTATTCCAGATGTTTTGTTAAAACAATTTCTGGGGACCCAGTTTGGCAATACTGAAATCTTGAATATGTTTGAGGTTTCAAGCTTCAGATGAAACAAAATCTGAATAGGAAAATTGGGCAAAGTTCCTTTCCCTGCATTTTCCCTTAGCTGTTCCCAAGTGTGCATATCCCACCAGCCTGTCTTTCCCCCATCTTTTCAGGATCTTTTTTTTTTTTTCCCTCCCTTCAAGCAACAGCATATTCTACTGACTGATCCATATCTCCTAACCTTCCAATAACTTTCCTTTTCTCCTTGTCTCTCCTCATCTGCTGACAACTTGGCTTTTTCCATCCTCAGTCCTTTCAACCATTTCTGCCCATATTAAAACAGCTCCATTTTGTTGCATGGGTGTATCAAAATATACCAAATATGTATGTTTTGGTTCAGGACCAAACCTTCCAAAACAAGCTGATCTGTGCACTATAGGCTTTCCACATACTAATGTAAAGTACTTATGTGGTAGGAATAAAATTACAATTTGTATATTATGGTATTAATGTCCCCAGTCTCATTTTCATATATGTAGAGGAAATACAAATAAAGGTTTCTAAAATTCCAAAAAATGACTTCTTGGTACATGGCAAAATATTAGCTTGTCATTGTGTTTTGCTGATACCTGAATATTGTTTGTTCTGGTGATAGCATCTCACATATTTTTAAATGCTGCTGCAGAATACAGGTAGTCCTCTATTTATTACAGTAACTGGGACTGAAATTTCCATCGCTAAGCAATGCAGTCATAAAACACAATGTCACATGACATCACTTAGCTATGGTGGTTCTGGTAATCCCCTGGCCTTCATTAAGTGAGAATCCTGGGATTTTAAGCAAGGACCTCCTTGCAACTTTCTCCTGGCTTCCAGCCAACAAGTCAGTGACTTGCAAGCAGGGCAGTGTGCAACTAAGTAACTGCTATGGCCAAACACAAATACAGCTTGACTGAGAAGAGATGGGGCTGCCACCAGGGGCCAAAGAGCCCACATGTATCCTTACACTGCATTGCCCTTGCCATCCCCAACTCACTTTTGCTGTCTTCTTCCTCCCATCACAAGGCAGATGCTGGCTATATGTGACTTCAGGAAGGCTGCATGTGGCCTTAGGAAAAAGGCATCACGTGGCCAGCACCTGCCTCACAAAGGGCCAGACCGGCACACCTCATCAACAGTGAAGGAAGATGGCAAAGGTCAGCTGGGAACAGCAGAGCACAGGGAGGCAGGGACGGTGAAGTGCAGGGCAGGTATAAGGGTAGAAATGGGGGGGAAATAGGTGGACTTGGGGAAATTGAAATGCACCCCGCAGTTATAAATGCGGGTAGGTTACCAAGCACCTAGATTTTGATCATGTGATCGCAGAGCCCTTGCAACACCATAACTTCAAGTTCCAGGTGAAAGTACCATTTGTCCAGTGACATTGTAACTTTGATCATAGAACAAATGGTTATTACCTGTATTTTACTTTGATAGGCTCTGTTCTGTAGTATAACATTTTCTTTATCTCATCTTTTATGCAGGTGGAAGCAAAGGGAATTGAAACGATGAAAAGTAATAGTCCACAAGAAGACTCACAAAATGTGCCTAATTCAAGCCCTAAAACAGGTGAGTTTTCATACTGTAAAATTGTTTGCTTGTGCAGTATTCACAATTTATGGAAATTATTTTTTAGATATGAATAAGATGCAATCAATGCATACTGGTAATCTTCTACAGCATATTGAACGAATTCTATTTTTTTTTTCACTTTCATTTTGTAAAAATGCATAAATGGTCTTTCTGTTTGTGTAAAATAATGCCTTTGTTTGACTTGTTTTCTTCTACTATAGATAAACAGCTCATTCAATATACTGCTTTCCCTCTCCTTGCATTGTTTGATGGAAACCCAAGCACAGCAACAGAGGGTACACAAGAAACCACATCTTCTGTAGACAAGTCAATAGAAGTGGATGAACTCCTCGAAAGTAGTTTGGATCCTCAACCAACCCAAAGTAAACTTGTTCGTCTGGAACCTCTGACAGAAGCAGAAGCCAGTGAAGCTACATTATTTTATTTGTGTGAACTTGCTCCTGTGCCAATGGACACTGATATGCCATTGTTGAACAACTAACCCAATATGTTTAAGACAAACTATTTATTTAGGTTGTGTTTTTTGGGGGGGGGGTCTTTTCTAAAAAATTTTTGTGAAAGCAGCTAATGGGGACTTGAAAAGATTCTATTGCTTCAACAAAATCAGAGCAGTTTAAATATTTACACAAACCATCAACAGTTCACTCACACTAGTTCATTATATTCTAGTGCTGTTGTACTTTGAAGTACCAACTATCTTCTGAATACTTATAATCAGATGCTCTGTATTAACCATTATGGTATCTCTTGTTCACTTTTGGTCCTAATGTATGACTGATGCTTTTTTTTTTTTTTTACTTTTTGATGGAGGTCATAGATTTCCAAGTTCTATTCATTACTTTTTTATTTTTACAACCTTGTTTAAATAAAACTGTTAGGGGGTCCAGAACTTAATGTAATGTGTCACTTAACTTCATGTCTTTTATTTAAGCGGTATATATATTTTAGGGACTTTAGAATACAAAGGAAAGAGATTGGGGAAGGAGAATGACTGGCTCCAGACTGGGTTAATCTTTTCCACAGAAAGGAGTTCTGCATGAAGATACTTCTGGCTGTGGGATAGAGGGATCAACCTAGTCTAAAAAATTTGTTGGATTTTAACTTCAGCTATACAGATACCCGTCCTAATAAGTGAAAGCCATTTCTTAGTAGATTATTTTCCCATTTCATTAAAACCCTGCTGCTGGAAAGTTGAACTAAAGTTTCCAGGTATGTCACCAAAAACAATGTTTATCTGAACATCTATTTGCAAATGCCAGACTATATAGGCAGTAGCTTCAGTTTGTGTGTGTTTAAATAAGAAGTGGAGACACATAGCTATGAAATATATGTGTATAAAGGACAATTGAGTGTTGTAACGTATTTCCCTGAAAATAAGCCCTAACACCCACCCACTCCAAATAAGCCCTACTTAAATGCCTCCGCAGCTGGCCAGCTGCTCATTCCATCTGGTTGCTTATGCCGCAAGGCGGTGGGATGGAGCTGTCACATGCACCCCACACTGGCTTATCTCAGGGCCCCCACAGCAAGGCCATCCATGCCCCAACACATGCCTCGCCTCGCGGCGGCTCCAGCAACCCCATCCAGCAGGGCCTCAGATGGCCTTTGGCCCACTTCTGCTTGTGTTCACACAGCCATAACAGAGCAGGAAGCCAAGCAATGTGCTGGTGAGGCAGCTGTAAGGCAAGGCAGGGTCGGGGCATGGACCCCAGCTTCAGAACATGGAAAAGTAAGCCGGTGCACAGCGTGTGGGACAGCTCCACCACCTCACAGCCACAGCACCACTACATCATTTGGCCTCCTGCTCTGTTGTGGCTGCATAAGCAAGCAGAAGAAGGGCTGGCGGCCATGCAAGGCCCTGCTGGATGGAGCTGGTGGAGCCACCATCGTGAGGCAGGTGTGTAGGGCAGCTCCACCCCCGCCTTGCAGCGGTGGCACTAGCACGCCATGTGGCCTCCTGCCCCTGCACCATGAGCAAGCAGAAGTGGGCCTCCCATGTACCAGTACTCTTAAAGTACATGGGGGGGGGGACAAAAATCCCCAGAAAATAAGCCCTAGTGCTTATTTTGGAGCACAAAAGAAAATAAGACCAGGTCTTATTTTGGGGGAAACACGTTGCAATTCAAGGTATCAATGCTGATGGATATCTTTTAAGCCTTTCTATGGCTTGGGGCCATCTTTCCCCAGCAGTGTCTACCTGTCCTGTGAGATTCAGCAGAAGCAAAATAATCTAGGTCCCAACTATGAGAGTGTGTCATCTGGCAGGGCCCAGGAAGAATCTTTTCTACCATGGTGCTTACAGTTTCATTGAAAGGTTCACATTAAAAGCGGTATCGAGATTAAATAGCCAGTATGAATGTTTTATTTATAGCTACAGCATAATACACTCAAAATGACTAAGCAGTAATTGCATTTATGTTCAACTTCATCAGCCTGTGTATTACAGTGAATAAATTTAAACAATTACAAATGCTCAGGAATTTCGAGAAGACACCTGCAATTGAAACTGAACTGGAGAAATCTGACATTGGGAGCAATGGATAATGTATTTACACTTCAAACAAACAAAAACCAGAAGCTGAGTATTTCAAAGTACTTCGCAAAGCAGGACCAATATACTTAAGTATATACTGGTAGTCCTAAGATTTTGCACTTGTAAAGACTGCCTGCACTGCATCCAATGGGACTAGTAGCAAGAGATGACATAAAAATACTTAAAAGTCCTATGCTAAAGTCAATGTCCAATGCAAAAAAACAAATGGCATCACTGTAAATCTCAGCTGCTTAATGCAAATGTTTTTAAGGATATTATATCTGCCAATACATCCAGCGAACCGTTATTAAAAGGAGTCATTTTTTTACTTGCAGTCTAATGATCACTAAGCCAAAAAGATTAGTGTTCCTACCTTTTTTGTCCTATTTTTAATATTTTATCAGCATTTCCTACATTATGTTAGTTACTAGCAAAGAAAGACTTGAGAGCCTTAGATCTTGGTCTGAATTGCTTTCCAGCAGCCTAATAATACCTTTAAATACTTAAGTGTTTTTTAAACTCAGCGGATTCAAAAATAATTTCAATGACATGCAGTACTAATACAATTGACACAGCATTCACTTCAAAGACAAAAATGTGTACAAAAATGCAACAACTTTTCATGGCTAGAAAATTCAAGTTTTTCCATCCATTTTAAGTAAAACCATGAATATTTCAGATTCTTTTAAAATAAGCTCTAGTTAAATTAAACTTTGCAGAGAAACACTCCTTCAGCAAGAAGCAAAAAAGTAGATGTTTGTGTGACAACTGAATCAAGTCCTAAATAGAATGGCTATTGAGGATTAAAAAGGAATAACTCCAGTGAAAATAGCTTCTGAATTATAAATGCAATCAATCTATTGGTTATCCTTGCTTTGTTCTTTTCCCTGTAAAAGTGAAGTTAATTCCTCTGCACAACAGTTTCAAAGGAAAGGCAAAGATAATCCAACAAATTAATGCCTTTAAACTTCAACTATTTTAAGATAACAAATGTAAACCGATTACTAACTTCCAATCCTCCCTTATTCATTCAATCAGGAGGGCAAAGACTGCACTAAATATCCTAGCAATATTGTAGGTGACTCTAAACTGGTCTGATCCCTCTATTTCTTTCCTACTCCTAATTTTCTCCCTTAACAGAGTCCTCATATAGATCAGAAAATTGCCAATACAGATAAAACTATTACCCCTCACCGTGTTTAAAAATAAATCTCATGTGGAATCAGTCTGCATTCCCATTTTAAAAACAATCACAAAGATGAGGAAATTAAATGCTTGTTACAAATTTAGAATCTTAGATCCTCCCCCTGCATTCTGTCTCTTAGACATACTCAAATATCACAACTGCTCTAAAAGTAAAGGTGCCAAGGGAGAAATAAATGGTAAGCAGGTGAATCCCCCACATCCATTTTGCTTTTAAAAGGCCAGGTACCTCACTTCTCAAACATTTTTTTTTTAATTAAAACATTACAGCTGCTACTTGCTGAATTTCTACCTCTTGCAAGTAACAAGTCAAATACTTTAATTTTGCATGTGCTTGCTGTAGCACTTTGGCAGCTCATTACACCTTTAATTACTCCAGATAAGTGCAAGTTGCTTCACAAACACCTTAACTACTGCTAACAATATGCAACAATATGCTGGAGGAATGCAGCAATCTTCTTATTTTGTTTCTCACTTGCATTTTGTGAAATAAAGCCTGTGGAGCTGCAGCTGACATTTCTAGTTTGGCCCTGAATCTAGGAGCAATCATAATCAAGCTCAAGTAGGAAAGCAGTCATGGTAATGATAACCTGATTTAAAATTGGCCATGCATAATAAAGACAGGATAACCTACACTAGTATTAAGTACACAAACACATATTTACAATTATTTCTTAGTACAGAATAGCATTAGCATCAAATAAGCAACTAAACAATAAAAGCTTTGGAAAAAAAAAGATGCTTAGCTTAGTCAAATTCACGATTTGTTAAAACAAGTGGAGCCACCAGAGTCCACACATAGAGAATGATACCAATCCAGCTAGAAGAAATCTTCACCCAGACAGAAGGCCATTTACTGGTCATTTGTGCAGAGGCAGGGTCAGGACTGAAAAAGATAATAAATGCAGAAAAGGTTTTTTAGATTCACCTGTGCAAACAAGGAAATCAGTTTTCTTAACAGAATTCATGCAGTTTACAGATATTCCCCTCCATCTCTTGTCAGGGATCAATCCATTTCCATTTTATTGATCCCCCCCCCCCCATCAAACTACACAGGATTCTCTTATTTTCAGAGAGAGATTGGGGTGAGGCTGGGCAGCAGAAAAAATGGATGGAGGACAGGCTAGAATAGGATGCACAAAACAGAAGCGCTCTG